ACCCGGGGGCTCACAGGGAGGCCCGGAGAAGCCCACGCGGCCCGCGGCGCTGGGGTTGTGTTCACCTCCGGCGGCTCCAGCGCGCTTCGGCTTCTCGGGCTTCTCCTCTCCCGCCTTTCGGTCCGCCATGTTCCCGGCCGCGGCCTCCCCTGCAGCCACGCCAAGGACGTCACGGCCCCGCCCAGTAACCACGGAGCGTGGGGCCCGCGGGCGCGGCGGCAGCCTAGAGCGGCCCCGTACTAGCCGGAAAAGAGGGCCCCTCGGGAAGCGGAAGCGGAAGTGACGCCATCGAGCCGTCGCAGCGGCAGCGGGGGCGGGGAGGGAGAGCGCGAGCTGGCGGTTTCTGCGGAGGGCTGGGCGGGAGTGACGCGGTTCGGCGGCGGGCGTGGGCGGGAGCGCGGGGCCGCGAGCACGGCCGCGGGCGCCCTGGTGGGGCCCTGGGCGAGGTCGGTAGTCCGGTGTGCGTGCCGCCGAGGCGGGCAGGGGCTTTGGGGCTCCACTGCGCCTGCGTCGTTTGCCTGCGGGGCAGCGGGACGGGCTGGGTCTCCTGACTGCGGAGACCGCGCCGCGCTCGCTGGGCGCTCTCCGGGGTTAGACGCCGTCCGTACGCGACCGTCGCGTCTCTGTGGAAGTGCCCCTTCGTGCACGAGTTGAGACCAGGGAGTAATTCGTCCAAGGTCACGCGGCGAAGGCATGAAGCCACTTTCTCTCCAAGCTGCAAATTCTCCGTTTACGGAGGTTTAACACCGCCGTAGTTTCTGCCTTACCCAGAAACCTTTGGGTTTTTTTCCGGTACCGGGGATCGAACTCACAACCTCGCCCTTGCCAAGCAGGCGCTGTGCCTCTGATCTAAATCCCCAACCCTCTACCTATCTTTAATTCTTGTATCCTACACCATTCTCTGCCTCCCCCTGAGACTTCAGTCCCTTTTTTTTGTTTGTTTGTTTTCGGGTACCCGGAATCGAACTCACGACCTTGCGCTTGCCAGGCAGGCGCTGTGCCGCTGAGCTAAATCCCCAGCCCCCTTACCCAGAAACTTTCAGTGAGTGAATGCAGCCCATACATCTCTCCTACGGTCTCTTCCTCTGTCCTCTCCCCCACAGGGCCAGGTACTTGCCTACAGAGGGAACTGGGTTTCTGAGTGTGCTCTACGATACACAGCGCTCGAGAGTCTGTTCTGAATCGCCGATGTGCCCTTTCCCAGCTGAGTCATTTTGGGTTCGCTCCCTGCCCACAGATCTGCCCTCACTGCTCTGTAAGCGATGGAAAATCCCACTTCTTCAGAAGACGTCGAATGTCATTTGTAAAGCAGCTGTGGTGGTGCACGCCTGTAAAGCCAGCACGCGGGAGGGTGGAAGCCAGCCTGAGCTATATCACAAGGCCCCAGCACTTAGTCGATCCCCAGCACTAAAAAAAAAAAAAAAAAGAAAAATCTTGGGAGGGCGAGATAGCTCAGCGGCACAAGCACCTGCCTGGCAAGTGCAAGGTCCTGAGTTCGATTTCCAGTACCAAAAAAAGAAAAAAGAAATTTCATAAAAAAATCTTGGGGCTGGGGATTTAGCTCACCGGTACAGCGCCTGCCTGGCAAGCACAAAGTCATGAGTTTGATTCCCGGTACAGGAAAACAAAACAAAACAAAAAGTGTTGAAAAAAAGTCTTTAACAACAGATATCACTAATAAACCTTATTTCCTGCCCCTTTGTACAAGGCATTTCATAATTGAAAGCTGCTCGGTGTTTGGGATGGATGATTTCCAGGCTTCAAGTTGAGAATATGAAAAAAATTAACGTGTGTCCCACGACAGAAGTAGGGTCGTGTTATGGTTGATACATTGTGTCAACTTGAGAAGTTTAGAAGTTTAACTAAGCGACTCAACAGGGGGCCGGAGTCTCCGCTTTGTAAACCTCCTGAGCCTGTGCAAGAGGGCAGGGAGATGGTGTGAGTGCTGCACCCGCCCTCGTGGGGCGAATAGCCTGCTTACAATGGAAGCGAGGAGAAGAGGCTGGCTCTCCCCGCTTTTGCTCTTGTTGCTTTTGCTCTTGTGCTGCCATGAAGTGTTGCCCCTTACCATGCCACCCTGCCTTGGAGCCAGCTCATTATAGACTGAAACCTCCACAAACTGTGAGCTGAATAAACCTTTCCTTCTTTAATTTTGGGTGTTGGCTATTTTGTCTCAGCAATGAGGAAAAGTAACTAAGACAGGTAGTTTGACGGTGATTTTGTGATCTGAGCTGAAATCCCTTGTCCACCATTTATCACACCTTGTATGTAAGCTGACCAGGAGACTACTTTAGAGCAGTACTTAATCGTATTTGCTACATTTTTTCTACCCGTGCTCTTTACAAGATAATCATTGAGATTCTCACTTTTATTTTTAAATGGGGACATAAACACGAGAATTTTATTTGCAATTATGTATTTATTTGAAAGGGTATGTTATCTGAGGAAAATGAAGCAGAGGTCACGTGACTAAAGTCTATCCAGACTCCATGTATAATGTAAAAATTAAGGATGGAAGCAGTCATTATCCATCTTCCAGTGCGATGAAGTCACACTGTGCCTGTCCTGCTCACCGTGGTTTCCCCAGGACCTAGGTTATACCAGTCTCCACAAGTAAGTCATTGAAAAGAATGGCAGTCTCAGTAACCTACTACAAATGGGTGAGGGTATGAAAAGGTTGTGTAACACAAGGCACAGCACATCAGTTTTATGTACATCACACAAAACAACTTAAATTCTCACTGTCAGCTAGATGTGGTGGCACACACCTGTGATCCCAGTACACTTGGAGGCTGATGCAGGAGGGTAGCTGCCAAGTTTGAGGTCAGCCTGCGTTAGGGAACTCAAGGCCATCTTAAACTGAACAGCAAGACCCTGTCTCAAAAATTTTCTTTAGGGTTTTAAATTTTAAATTGCTGGGTGTGGTAGTGCATGCCTGAAATCCCAGCCCTTGTGAGACTGACGCAAGAGGATCACTGCGAGTTCGAGACCAGCCTGGACCACATCGTGAACTCAAGGCCAGCCTCAATTACACAGCGAGACCTTTTTTTGTTATTTACATTGTATTTTTAAAACACATTTAGGGGTCGAGGATTTACTCAGTGGCATAGCGCCTGGCTGGCAAGTGTGAGGTCCTGAGTTCAATTCCTGATACCAAAAAATAAATAAATAAAAACATTTAACTATAAAAATGGGATGTTTTACAGAAATAGTCACTTAAGATACTTGAGGTAAAATTTCTTTTTTTTTTTTTTTTTTTTTTGGTTTTTCTCCGGTACCGGGAACCGAACTCACGACCTTGCGCTTGCCAGGCAGGCGCTTTGCCGCTGAGCTAAATCCCCAGCCCCTGAGGTAAAATTTCTAACACTGCCAACCATGGTGTGTGCTTGCTTAATGGAAGCTATTTAGAACCCTTAAAGAACTACTCAGATGATGGATTAAAAATTAGAAATGGAAGGTAATATAAACAATTATTACTTCAACTTAGGTGTGTAACTTGTGGCAACTATAATATCTATGATTTATTCATATAGCACGCCAAGTATATTTGCAAGTATTTAATATGAAACTAAATACCATCATAACCCTTTAAATTAGGTACTACTATTATTCCCGTTTTTACTGACAAGGAAACTGGGACGTAGAAAGTGGTAGTGAGCAGTGGAGCCGAAGTGTAGGCCGAGCTACAATAAAATGCAGCCTCACCCTAGTCCTGACCCTGGCAGGCCATCTCAGTCCCTTGTTCTTAGCTACCATAGTAACTCAAACACAAGATCCTTGCCATTTAACAGTCTAGCGAAACTGATTCATAGCATACTACCGTTGTCAAGTCGAAGTTTACTCATCATTTTTCCAGGGCTTCTCCTGATCCCACAGCTGGATTCTATATAAAAGCTGCGATTCTAAAATAAGACAGCTGTATGTCACAACTGGTGTCACATGCCTATAATCCCAGCACAGGGGAGGCTGAGGTAGGATGATACCAAGTTTATGGCCAGCCTGGACTACCTAATAAGACCTTGTCTCAAAAAAACAAAGATAAAGCTGGGTGTTATGGCACACACCTGTAATACTAGCACTCTGGAAGGTTGAAACAGGACTGTAAGTTTGAACCCAGCCTGGGCAATTTAGCCAGAATTTTAAAAAGAACCAGGAATGTAGCCCTGTGGGTGAGGCTCTGGACTCAATCCCCAGCCTTATGAATTCTGAGTCTGTGAGGCTGCATTATTTTGATTACCCACGTTTAAAAATACTATTTTTGGGAGACAGGGTGCTAGAATTATAGGCATGTGCCACTACACCTATAAAAATTTTAATGGTGCAGATAGTCTAGTTCACAATGAAGTGTCCCTAATGTTCATTTTGCAGGGGAATTGTTTGCTTTGGATTTTGAGACAGGGTCTCGGTACATAGTTTAGGCTGGCCTTGAACTCATGGTGATCCTCCTGCCTCAGCCTCCTGAGTGCGGGGATTACAAGTGTGTGCTACCACACTGCTCATCTTCCTTAAGTGTTTTTCTTTTCATGTCTGTTACTACTTTTATAAAACAAATTGATTTAGAAAGGTTTCTTAACTTCAGGTGGTGGTTCACTCATTACATTCAAGCATTGTACAATGCTGGGCATGTGTAGGTATTAAGGTATATTGCTTAAATGAACCTTGGTCAAGAGATCCTTTGGCATGTCAGGTAGTTTGGCTATTCTATGAAAAGTGAGTTTGTGGAGGTAAAACTAATTTTTTGCCCTCCTAGGGAAAAAAACATTTGGTTACTGCTGCATGTAACACCCTATCTATTAGTTTCCTTTTCTAGGAAATACATGTTTCACCAGCCACAGGTTTTGAATGGAAGCTACTGTATTGTACAGAGTACACCCTTGGTTGGCGGGTGGTTAGAAGACACCTTACCCAAGCTTGGTTAGTCACAGTACCCAATCTCCCTGCCGGCTGATTACTTTAGGGGTGTCTAAGAGATAAGGCAGTTATAACCATTTTCCAGAATTTGTGGATTTGAGAACTAAACTGGCCTATATAATCTCCTTTCAGGTGGTACAATGTTGACAGGAAGCTCTGGAATTGGTAGGAGTTGTGCACTTTTCTGTGGAGTAGGACTATAGCAGAAGCTCAGTCATACAGAAATAAGACCAATTTCTGGAGCTGTTCAATCTCTGGTTCCTCTTGTTCCTGATGTCCAGCTATAGTACTTACTGGCTGTTTAAACCTCTTGCTCCTCTTGTACTTACTGGCTGTTTAAACCTCAAGAGATGCCTTTGCTATACTTGTAATAAATTGCTTTTTTTTTCCTGAAGCAACCACTGCTTCAAATGACACCTAGTATACTTGAGAAAAACATATACTTGTTTCTTAAGATACAAACTTTAGGACAAGGTGGTATATGCCTGTATCTCCAGAGGATCACCATGAGTTCAATCCTATATAGTGAATCCTACGCCAGCCTGATCTCAGTAGCAAGACCCTGTCTCAAAAAAAGAAAACAAACAGAAGGAGGAAAATCAAGTCTGAAACATTATTCAGAAGTCACACCAATGGTACAGTGTTTTATTGGCCTCATGTAAAGATTATTCCATTAAATCAACATGGCTGATTTCTGATTATTAACTATTATAAACAAAATACATTCTCAAAATTCTGTTCTATAGAGATTTAAGTAATTGGACAGAGACTTACATTAGTTTGGAAAAGCTACCTTTCAAAGAGAAAATGAGCTCCATTTAGAAATATGCTAATAGGCTATTTCCATTAAAAACTAGAACTATAGTTTCACCCCACTTACTTTTAAGCTATCAAATTTTCTCATTCATACCAACTTTTCTGTGTCTGTCTACTTAAAGTACGTTTTGGAAATGAATTAAAAGTCTTTGCCTTCTTCAGTCTGTTAAGCAGCTCTTCAGAATGCTTAGAAATGTCTAGGAAACCAACATGTTTTCTCCTGGGAACAAACTTCAAAGCCTCTTCCCAATTACCAGTGTTTTTCAGACACAACAAAATCCGCGTCATTTGATCTAAGGTAAGATTCTTGTTGCCAGTGCTCCACTGTAAGTACTTATCTAATGGAAGGCGTTCTGTTGCCAGGTTTAACTGCTTTGCTTTGGCTAGAGAGACGCCTGACTGTATGTTTTTATCAACAAATGACCCAACAATATAAATTTTGTCATGTTTGTAAGTAGTCATAACATTGGGAGAATCTGCAGTTAAATATATAATATTGTCCTTTGGAAATAAATCTACATAAGACTTTTCTGTTGCTGTTATAAGCAATTTGTCCCATTTTTCTCCATAATATCTAACTAACTCTCTATGGTAAGCACTGCCTATTTCAAGATTGCAGAAGTAAATATGAAAAGGGTCAATATCTCGTCTGTTGCACCCTTCACTTTCTAGAAGTTGGGAAACAGTATTCTGCAGATCTTTCGGTTTCATGTAATTACTGTAACTCATGTCAAAGACCAGAGGTTGTCCAAACTGCATAGCCTGGGCGCCCTTCCAACCCATTGCAATGTTCTTGTGCCTGTCCCAAAATCGAAGAAATAGAAAGTTTTGCTCTTTATTTTCCTCAGTGGTTTCAAACAGGTTGGCCTTTTGTGCTTCTTTCTTTGCTGCTGCTTTCATTTCCTTTTTGAGTAGCTTAGCTCTCTTTAGATTTTCTTTAATATACAAATATTTTAAGTATTTCCTTTGGGCTGACTTAGAGGTACATTCCATGACAGTCTTGAGCTCTTCTTCAGTGATGTGTTCTGGTACATTTCTCCCAAGCAATCTCCACATCTCGATTAATTCTCTGGTGGCAGCTACTGTATCTTCATCCTTGCTGCTTGGGACTGTGGAAACAGCTTCTTGCACGCTAGATTTCATTGTAGTTTTCCACCCATCCAGTTCTAGCTGTTCAGGAGGGGATGTACTCTCCTTATTAGGGTAAGACACAGCTGGTATTTTGGAAGACATATGTCTCTGCATAATAGCTGAATATAAATTTCTCTTCTTAGGAAAGGTAAGTGGCACCAAATACCTGGCAAAAGGTCTTATGAAAGTGACACTAACATTCATTTTGAAGAAAACAGACATGTAAAAAAAAAAACTCTGTAAAAAAAAAGATACATAAAATCAAGTTAGCTTTTTCTTTTAAAACTTCCAAATATAAATTTGATACCAAAATGCAACTGGCTTGTGAAATGTACAGCTTATGGTCACTCCCTGGGCAACAAGTTTAAAACTTGTTTGGATTTCTATTTTAGACATTAATTTCACTATAGCTTTAGGCAAAAAGTATTTTTTTGTACCAGGAATCAAACTCATGACTTCATATTTGCCAGGCAGGCGCTGTGCTGCTGAGCTGTATCCCTGGCCCTCAAAAAGCTAACTTAAAAGATCCTTTTAGATTTGTATATAGGGGAGCAGTGGATCAATCTTACTGGATAACAAAGTTATATAAGACCGATACATGTGAGATCATGTTATATAGTCTCCTCCAGATATATACCCAAACTCAAGATCCTTCATAAGAGAACACAAGGAGACAACAGAAAAGTGACAAAAGATTGTAAATGGTAGAAAAGCATTTAAAAACTGCTGTAACAATGCCTTTATTTTCAAACAGAAATACATTATGCACAGATATACTGATTAAAAAGCAGCCAACACTACTACATAGGGAGACCATCTCAAAATAGCACAACCCCAAAACCAAAAACCCCACCAACAAACTCTTATCCAGCTCAGGTTTAAAAGGATACAAAATTATCAAACAAGGCCACCTGTGGTGGTACACACCTGTAATCCCAGGACTCAGGAGACTGAGGCAGAAGGATCACTGAAAGTCTGAGACCAGCCTGGGCTACAAAGTGAGCTCAAGGCCAGCCTAAACTGCATAGTGAGACCCTGTCTCAAAAAGACAAAAAAATCCAAAAACAAAAAAATTATGTCTCCAACTACGAAAAACACAAATAAAGCTCCAAGATTTTATCCAAAGAAATGGATGTCCACAAGATGAAGATGCTTAAAATTGTGAAACTAATTGCTAGGCATGGTGGCACACACGCCTGTAGTCCCAGCACTTGGGAGGCTGAGGCAGGAGGATTGTTGCGAGTTCAAGGCCCGCCTGGGCTGCAAAGTGAGCTCAAGGCCAGCCTGAACTGCATAGGGAGACCCTGTCTCAAAAAGGAAAAACAAAACAAAACAAAAAACCCCGTGAAACTAGCATCAATTTTAAAGTGAAAAACAAAACGTTAAATTTTTTCAAAATATAACAAAAACATCCGAAAATAAAACTTTCTCATTCCCCTGGGTTTGTTTTTCGGGTTTTTTCTTGGGGGGTGGAGAGCTGAGACACTTTGTAGTTGAAGCTGGCCCCAAACACTCTATGTAGTCCAGGCTGGCCTCCAACTTGCAGCAAACCTCCTACCTCAGCCTCCCTAGTGCTGGGATTACAGGCGTGCCCCACAATACCTGACTCCCTTGGTTTTATTTAACGACCTTGTAGTCTCCTCAGTTTTCTGCTTCTCTAGCCCGGGCATTGATGCCAATATTCCCCACGCCTGTTTTAAAAGTAAATATGACTCTATCCCTTTTTTCAATCTATTTCCCCATGAGATCTGACATATTTCTATAGCTTTCATTACCAACACCTGAAAGACACCTCCACCGTAACAACTGAAATAATCTCTTTTCCCTTCCCAGCTCTCTCCTCCTCCCGTGTTGAACTGCTGGAGCTAGAAATGCGGTCATGTCATTACTGTCCTGTCATTCAATCACACCTAATCCGTTTGTTACTCACTCTCTGTCCGAACACTTTTCGACAGCACTCAACTCTTTTCAACCTGTTTTCTTCTTCTTTTGTGGTGCTTGGGCTCGAACTGAGGGCCTTGTGCATGCTAGGCAAATTCTGTACCACTGGGCTACAGCCCCCAGCTAAGCTATTCTTCACCTCCTCATACTTTATTTCACTCATTTTTATTTTTTGCAGCACTGGAAATTGAATGCAGGGCTTTTGTACCTAGCTACATCCCCAGCAACCGTCCCCCCTTTAAAATTTTTTTTGAGACAAGTTTCACTACGTTGCTCATGCTGGGCTCAAACTTTTGATCTTCCTGCCTCAGCTTCCTAGAGTGCTGACATTACGTCTGGCTTCATACTTTACAGCAAATACTCCTGTTAGTTCTCACAGCACCCTCTGCCTATGACAGTGGTTGTAACACCTTTTTGGAATCGTCTAGTTACCTACTTACCCACTAAGTGGTAGGGATTACCTACTTCACAAGGAAAAAGACTATGTCCACACCGTTACCACCGCATCCAATACTCGACCGCACTTGTCTCCACGAATCAGTCAAGTGTTGTCGGTACGCAGCCTGGATCGGGACTTCTCGCATGTAACAAATGCTCCGAGAGCTCTTAAAGAGAAAAGCGGTTCACTTTAGAGTCCCCAGAGCGTTCCCCGTGGGCGCCCCCGCCCGACACAGCGATCGCGGCAGCGGGCTCGGGTCCCGCCTCCGTAACCAGCGCGCCCGCATCGCACTTCTGCGACACGGGGGCCCGAACCCGGGGCGCGCGACCCCGGCGGTCCCCCGCGCCCTCCATGTGCTCTCAAGGGTCTCGCAGACCCGCGCCGGCCTGCAAGCCGCGCT